AAAAAAAAAAGAACAAAAATAAAAAAGAACAAAAGAAACTTACGTAAGTACCATCTCTACCAGCCAATGGTGAATCATTTACGCCAAAAGTCATCGAAATGGTGGGGGGATCAAGCTCAACGGCTGGCAGAGCTGTCATGACCTACCAGTGGCACCACGTAGAAGTTATACAATGTTCAATGTTGATAAAATGTCTACTAACTAAGAAATAAACAGAATCATTAAGTAGCATATAAAGTGATTTCTTTTTGTTCCACATGAATAAGTGCGCTACAACCGCATGGTTGTCAGATTAATGTAATTGTTTATCCTTTGCTGCAGGACTTATCCTCTCTCGACATTGGTGAATTGTGACATTCTTAAGAAATAATAATAGATGGGTCCGGATGAGTAGAACTCAACTACAATGGATAACTCAAAATGGAGAGGGTGTCCAACCCACACTTGTACACAATAACAGCTAAAGTAACTCGGGGATGTGGGATAAACACAACAACTTTTAACACAATCCTTACATGTCAAAAGAAAAGACTTCAACACCATGATAAATGAGCCTGACAGTCATCTCCAAAGACTAGTTCAAAGGGAGAAGATGCCCAACCAACATTTATGCACAATAATAGCCCAGCAACTTAGTCATGTATAACAAATAAACAAATACAACTTCGAACAGGAAGCATTGAACCAATTTATTGGAAAGGAAGATTAACTATTATCGGAAAGGTATACATCTGGCATGGTTATATTTCCATAATCCAAATTTTTAATTTTGGAAAACAAATCTTAAGAAATTATAGATTTTGGTGAAAATCAAATTGATGTTTAGATGGGAACTTTTGGAGTAGCTTTTGTGTCTACAACTATTCGAAAGCTCTTAGTGCCGAGATCCATTTTCATTATTTGAATCAGAATATGTAATATACAACAAATAAGATTGTGGCGGGTCCAATCAGATACATACAAATAGGGCTGTTATAAAGCACCCTGCATGTTCAAAGATGAATATATGACTGAAGTGATGGAAGCTAGTGCTAAAAATGGAAATTGAAAATGAAAAATCTCAATGACAAAAATTATTAACAAACAAGAATTCATTTATAACAACTGGGCAAAAAAAAAAAAAGAATAGGCCATCAGAAATGGCACCAATGAGGTCACGTATTTGGAGTGCTGAGAGCACTAAAACAATTGGTAGGGGAAGTCTTTCAGATGCTCCAAACCCAAGCGAAACTAACTCAAAATTAGAAGGCAACTTGGTCAATAACCGGAAATTTGACTGATAGAGAAGAAATATAAGAATACACCTAATTTGTCTAAGAACACTGCAGCACATGATGTTCTTCCCAGTGAACGAAAAAGGTGCAAGTATCCATGTACCTCAGAACTTGCTATCGTGTGCCCTATTGCTGGACTAGTCAACCCTGCCATGGACACTATATCACCAGCACCTGCACTATCAACTGAAACAATATTTGTGCCCTTCTTTTTCATCAGTTTCACAACCTACAAAAGCATAAGAGAACATTGATAATCAACAACAATGACAGTGGACTAGTTAACAATCACAGTCACTTATTCACAAAAAAAAACACTAGTATGAACCAGAGGTTAAAAAGGCACCATCCTTTTAGCAGCATAATATCCTAGGTATGGTCATTCCAAAATGGCAATCAACAATTTCAATAATAGCACGTATTTAAGAATGGATTTCTTATCTAATAATAATAGTGATAATGGAAGTTCCATGAAATAGAGGAATAAACAGGTTGTTGGGGTTTAAAGGCAAAAGCATTAGGGGAAGCTTTACTCATCAAATAATATTCCCACCCATACATCCTCCCACAAACTCATGTTACTTCCATCCTATAAGGCAGGCTGAACTGATCAACTCCAATATTTCACTTTGAGTGCTAAACCTGCATCTCAATTGTTACCTTGCAAAGCATGTTAACTTCTCAATAATGTAACACAAAAAAAATGTCTGGGTATATCCAGCACCAACACAAAATCCCCCACAGTAAATATATTTAATGCTAGATACCCAAACCTCCAGTCAAGAAACCACTTCCAAGCGACAAACTGGATAATCATACTTTAAGATTTATCAGATTGTAGAGACTTTTGGATTTGATAGCAAAATTATGGAAACCCAAGGTAGGGTTGAGAGAAAGTGAGAGAATTAAAAAATAAATAAATAAGAGCTGCATGATAAACATTTAAATTGTTCATCCTGTTAAAACAAAAACAAAA